ACTACTGTAACGTGCTTAGCTAACAGAATGTTGGCGCCGAGCCCCTGAGCTCAACATGCAACTTTATAAGCTGAATAGGGAATGGTATCAAATACCAACAAGATTAGAAGCAGACAAGTTCAGTTGTATGTAGCTTTGTTGACAACATTTCGTTCACACAGAAGCTGTATAGTCAAACAGATTTTTCCCCTTTATAATCTCTTGACTTTAGCCCACAGGAAGGGTATGGGCAGTATATCTAGATTAACTTCATACAGGGAGCATAAATGATTGACATTCACATTGAATTACACACATATAACATACGGGGTTTAGAGTTGATTGTAGTAGTAGAAGCTGATGATTGTGATAGAAAAATAGTGTTGCTCATGCTTGAGAGTACTGACGTCAGCAGACAGTCAGACGAGAAGAACCAGTTGAAGGCCACTACCAGTTACTTCCATGAGAGCCTTTCTCAGTGCACGCTCTCTCACTCCCAAGGACCCACTCACAAGTCTTACTGGCTATTGAGCCAACAAAATATTGATGTTTGCATATTTATTATTATTTATTATTATAATTATTAATTGTTGTTATTAATATTATTATTATATTCATGGGAAGCAATGAATCCGTAAGGATCATATAGCGCCTGGGAATGGGAAGAGTGAAAGGGGGATGGGCAATCAGGCTTGATCCGAGGAATGAGAGAATGGCTCTAATACATTGAATTAAAAGCCCTTTACCAACATAATACGCTCCCCTTGAAAGGTGTTACATGGCATAGGCAGAGCCGGCTTAAGCAACTCAACGTGGCACTGGCTCAGGCACCAAGAATCGAACGAGCCAGCAGAAAAAAAATATTGGTTCAAGTCAACAAGAAACAGATGAAAAGTTTAAAAAAGAAAAAAAATGTGCATAGAAAATTAAGGCACAGGATGTGAGGAAGTAGTAGTTTTAATGAATGAAATAATAAGATTATATCCAAAAATTATATTTTCTGTAACCAGAAACATTTATGTAAAAAAAAATAGGATAAAGGCGAGCGCCAAACCAAAATTAGTTTAGGGTGCCATAACCCTTTGACACCCTCTCCTGAGGATGAGTGGAGTTTGTGCTGCATGGTAGACGAGAGTCTGAAAGTTAACGCAGTTTCATCTCCCAGGCCCCATGATTTTCAAGACGTACTTATACCAGCAGAAGACATTCTTGGTGTATAACTCCCCAGAGAGCTGTTAATCCAAGAAAACCAAGTAAAATGACTTATTTTCATTTGGGCTTTCCTATGATTTTATAAGGAAACAGGGTATTAACTTCCTTTATTGGGCAGCCAAGTTGAGCTTACTTGGACTAATGTGTGTTGTGCAAAGATAGCAGTTACAAACAGCAAGCATACACTGTAATGTTATTAAACTTTGGAAGCCTTATTGCCTGGATTAATATTTCAGGCCAGAATCTTCCTCTTCCATCCCCTTTAATGCGTCATTTCTGGAACTTCCACTCATTAATTTCAAGCTTAAGTCATTAGTTTCACTCTGTAATCCTCATGTCCATCTAATGGCAATTTTGTGCTAATTAGGCCTTCCCTAATGGAAAATCTGTCTAGCAGGGGACACCTTGATGCTATGGTGCTTTTTGCATCTGCTTAAAGCTACAAAACCTTTTTTCATTTACCATTTGGCTTTTATATTCAGTTGCTATAGTGAAAGTTATTGCTTTATTGACCTGGACCTGGATAGTGTTCCAGGTCCAGGTCATGGAGTATTTTTCGACAACAGTATTTTGTCTTTGTTCAAGTCAAGGGTATTGTGTATTATTTAATTGAGATACATGCAGTATGACTTTATATTATGTGCTATTTTTTTGGTCTATTTTGTACCAGGCAAAGACAGTTTTACCACTTTAAAACTCAAGATAATGGGATTTTGTGTACAGCATGGTATTGGTTCAGTCAAAAGGATTACTCACAATTTGAGGATTTGTGTTGCATTTTCTAAGCAGTTTTCAGTGTTATGAATTGTTGTTCCAAGCTCTTGCATTTAATAATTTTCTAATGCAAGACCTTACATAAATTGGGTCATTTTAAAGGGGTATATAATTATCATATAGCTGGCTGATAGGTTTTCCTGCTGTTTGAGCTCTCATTAAGGTGGTTTTTTTGGGGGCTACTCAGCTGCTCTTCCTGTTTTATGGTGAAGTTACCTTTTGAAAATAATAAAATATGAATGCCTTATACAGTGGAGCCCCAGTTTTTGTCCGGTCCGGTTATTGTAGAATTCATTTTTTGATCACTTTTTTTGGCAAAATTTTCCCCGTTTTCAAACTTCAAAAAACTCAACACCAAAGCAATGTTTCAAAGGTGCTTTGAAGTGACCTCAGACACTGAATTGACCCTAAGAGAGTTCTGGAGGAATCACTTCAATATCTTCCATTGCATAAGCCTTATAGATAAGGCTTGGCAGGGAGTGACTTCCAGGACAATTAACTCTTCTCGAAGAAAATTGTGGCCAGAATGTGTCCTTCAGAAGGATTTTAAAGGGTTTGAGGCTGACCCTGACGACCTTGTGCCTGTTGTGGAATCTATTGTGTCTTTGAGGAAGTCCATGGTGTTGGAGGCGAGTGGCCAGGATGTGGAAGAGTTGGTGGATAACTGCAGGGAAGAGCTAACCACTGAAGAGCTGCAAGACCTTCATCTGGAACAGCAACAGACCTTAGCTGAGGAAATCGCTTCAGAGGAGGAAGAGGAAGAGAGAGGGGAGAATGTGCCTTCTTCAGCGATTAAGACATTTGTGCAAGTTTTGTGGAGAAATATCACCCTAACAAAGCTGTTGCAAGCTGTGTCAGCAACATGTTCAATGACAGTGCAATGTCCCATATTAAGCAAATCTTAGAGATGCCAGAAACAGGCCTCTCTGGACAGATTTTTTGTGTGACAAGGTCCAGTGACTCTCAAGCTGGTCCTGATGCCAGTAAAAGACAAAGAAGGGAAGTAACCCCAGATAGGGCTTTGATACCTGAAGTCCTTATGGAGGGGGGATTCCCCTTCCAAACAATGACCTCTCCTCCCTCTCCCCTCCTCGCTGTCTTCCACATGCCAACAAGAGTATTCAATAAAGGTAAAAGTGATGTTAAATGTTCGTTTATCCATCTCATTAGTCATATTTATTTCTCATTGTTTTCTGTATGTAAAACTATAGTTATTCTCTATAAAACGTATTTTTGTTAATATTTTAGTGTGTGGTTGGATTAATTGGACTTACATAATTTCTTATGGGAAATATTACAGTGCACCCTAGACTAACGATAAAATCGGGTAACGATGTGTTTTTGCGTAAAAATATTGGCTTGACCAACGATGAAAAACTCGGGTAAGGATATTCGTCCTGAACGCGTCCGCCTGTTCGTCCAGCCTGTGCACCTCAGCTGCCCTGCCTTCAGCTAGTGTGCCATTGTTTACAAGCCAGGGCAGACGGTTCCATACATACATGCAATATATTTTGTATTATTCCATTGTTTTTAGTGCTTGTAACTGCAAAATAAGCCACCAAGGAAAGAAAGCTTCTAGTACCAACCCTGTGGTAAAAATGGTGAAATACTATCGAAATATGTGCTATCGTACCACGGTCAGCTGTTGCTGCACCACCGTCAGCTGCTGCAGTACCACCGTCAGCTGCTGCTGTACCACAGTCAGCTGCTGCTGCACCACCGTCAGCTGCTGCTGCACCACCGTCGGCTGCTGCTGCACCACCGTCAGCTGTACTACTCAAAGATGTGGAGAGAGTGTTGTTGGTGTGGCTTATGAGAAACAATTACCGAGAAACAATTAACCCCAGTGGGTTAGCCACCCAGGATAACCCAAGAAAGTCAGTGCGTCATCGAGGACTATCTAACTAATTTCCATTGGAGTCCTTAATACTGTCCCCCAGGATGCGACCCACACCAGTTGACTAACACCCAGGTGAATAGGAAAAAAATGCCTGGAACTAGTGCTCATATTGGTGAATTTAAGGCCAGCAAAGGTTGGTTTGAGAGATTTAAGAATCTTAGTGGCATATACAGGGTGACAAGGCATGGCGAAGCTGAAAAATTCCAACCTCAAGTGTTCAGTTGTGACAAAACAGGCCTGCTCTGGAAGAAAATGCCAAACAGGACTTACATTACTCAGAAGGAAAAGGCACTCCCAGGACACAAGCCTGTGAAAGACAGGCTAACTCTCATGTTTTGTTGTAATGCTAGTGGGGATTGCAAAGTGAAGCCTTTACTCATGTATCACTCTGAAAATCCCAGAGTGTTCAAGAAAAATAGTGCCACATCACTCATCAATACTACTCTTCAATAAAGGTAAGTGTCATTTAGTATTTATTTATGTATTTATTGTGCATGTCTCATTGTTTTCTTTGTAGGGAAATGTATATTTCATGTAAAAAAAAAATTTTTTTTTTTTAATACTTTTGGCTGTCTGGAACGGATTAATTGGATTTCCATTATTTCTTATGGGGAAAATTAATTCGGCTAAGGACAAGCTCTCTGGAATGGATTAAAATCGTTAGTCGAGGGTCCACTGTACTTCAGTTTTTGTACAAATCGGTTTTCAGCCAACCTTCTGGAATGGGTTAGAGACAAAAACCGGGGTTCCACTGTATAGTTTTTTGTATTCTTGTTAGTTAAACATTTATGGTGTAAAATGCATTTTTGTTAATGGGCACCAGTAAGACCAGCTACTTTATGTACGTATATTAATTATAATACTGTACTGTTTTAATAGCACAGCATCTGTATTGCTAAAGCCATTTTTTTTTTAACTGCTGATTTTGTGGATAATTGTAATATAATACAGGATGATAATATAATTGTAATTAGCTTTTAACATGGTACAGGGCTGACAAAAGGCAAAAATTGAATTTTTTTGTATCTGCAGTTTGAGCTGCTATTCTGTGTTCAGGAGGAGGGTGATCCTAGCATCATGATTGTCCAACAGCTGATGAAGAAACACCCACATGTTGATGCTTCCTGTTTCATAGGTGAGACATTGTGGTTTTGTTCTTCCCTCAACACTTCAAAACTAGAAGCTTGGGTTGGGAACTAAGTTTGTCATAATTGACTTAGCAGTCACTATGAATGGCTGAGACACCTCCAGACTTCAGTATTAGAATTTAGTTTGCATGAAAAAATAAAGATTAGAAAGACAAAATAAGGACTGGGATAAAAATGGGTTGGGTAATTTTGTAGAGAGATTTAGGGATACAAGTAGATGAAAGTAAATAAAAGAGGTATTTGTACCTGGGGGATTTAGCCCTTCCCAGTGGCTGCACCACTGTTGGCAGCCATTTTACACATCTGTAAACCAACCTCGAGTCAAAATTTATCTTAAAAATTACAGCTATAGTTAAAATGCAGGTTGAGGACACTTCTAATTCCAAGTTTAACTCCTGCAACCTAGATTTTATTTTTTATTTTTACATTAATGTATTGAGCTTCAGTATTCAGTAATGGACAAGAATGCTGTAAATAGCTGCCAAGAGGAGTTTGGTTAAAATAAAAAGTGGATTGGTGTCAAACATTAAAAATTAATGTAGCACCTAGTGCTTCATAAGTTCTACTTTATGTATGGCTGTGGTGTAGTTGTAAGCATGCAGCCTGGGACTTGTCAACACCTTAGTTAAAATATCATAAGTACGTAATCTGTTTAGGATGTTGATGTATAATTTCATATTAACATAACTTTTTTTTTTAACACACCAGCTATCTCCCACTGAGACAGGGTAACCCTAAAAAGAAGAAACACCTTTATCATCACTCACTCCATTACAGTCTTGCCAGAAGTACAACATTACAGCTCAGGTACCCCTCCATACTGCAGTATCCCCACCCCTCTTTCATAGTGCAGGCACTGTACTACCCACCTCCTGGACTCAAAGTCCAGCTAACTGGTTTCCTTGAATTTCCTTCGTAAATGTTACCTTAATCACACTCCAACAACATGTCAGGTCATAAAATCCATTTGCCTCAACTCTTATCTAACATGCTCACACATGCCTGTTGGATATCCAAACCCACTCACATACAAAATCTCCTTTACCCCCTTCCTCCAACCTTTCCTAGGACAACTTTTACCTCTCCTTCCCTCCACTACAGATTTATACACCCTCCAAGTCATCCTATTTTGCTCCATCATCTCTAAATGTCCAAACCACCTCAACCCCTCCTCAGCTCTGTGGATAATACTTTAGTAACCTCACACCTCCTCCTATTCTCCAAACTACAAATTCTCTGTATAAAATTCACACCACACATTCCCTCAGCCATGATATCTTCACTTCCTCGAGCCTCCTTATCACTGGGGTGTTTAAAACCCATGCTTCACATCCATATAAGAGTATTGGAAACACTGTTCTCTGATACATTTTCCTTTTTGCCTCCATAAATAACATTGTCTCCAAAGATGCCTTGGTGCACAACCCACCTCAGTTTTCCCTCATCAGTTCTGTTCACTTCATCTTTCATAGACCCAACTGCCAACAAGTCCATTCTCAAATATCTGAACACATTCACTTCCTTCATACTACTTCCTCCTAATCCGATATCTAATCTTTCATTACCTAATTTTCTTGGTGTACTCTCATCGCTTTGCTCTTTCCTATGTTCACATACATACCCTCCCAAATTCATCTACTAGCCTTTGCAACTTCTCTTCAGAATCTCCCAAAAGCACTGTGTCATGAGCAAAAAGCTAGTGTGACCACTTGAGCATTGTATTAGATTCTTTATCTTTTAATCCCGCACCTCTTCCCAACACCCTATCATTCACTTCTTTTACATCCTCTTCTACAAATGTGTTAAACAACCATGGTGACATCATGCATCACTGTCTAAGGCCTACTGTTATTGGAAAATATTCTCTCTCTCTTCAACATACAGTAACCTGAGCCTCGCTATCCTCATAAAAACTCTTAACTGGTTTAAGTAACCTACCACCTATTCCATGCACTTGCAACATCTGGCACTTGCTCTCTATCCACCCTATCATATGCCTTTTCTAAATCCACACATCCAGCAAAAACTTCTTACCTTATATCTAAATATTGTTCACCCATATGCTTCAATGTAAACACTTGGTCTACACATCCCCCAGCCCTTCCTGAAACCTCCATGTTCATCTGTGATCCTGCTCTCTGTCTTACCCTTTAATTTTTTCAGTACAAACTCTTACCATGCACTTCACCTGTGTTGCAAATAAGAAATTTTTTTAAAGAACTTCAGAATGTGGCCTGTTACCATTTATTTCTTATGCAACAAGATTTTTGGATCCGAGTTATTTAAAGTTTTAGAGTCTAGGGGAAATAATTTCAACTGGGAAACTCCATAGAATAATATTCAAATTTATTAAAGTATTTAAATACAATACTTTATCTTCTCATTGTAGTTAATGTACTTAATACTTTGTACAATAAATTTACCATATACATTTAGTTCAAAATCATTGAAATGTCACATTAATAAGGAAGTTTAATTATTCTTCCTGTAATTCAGTCTTCAATAACATTTACGTCTTTGTCTTAACGAGACTGTAAACTCAAAATACAAAAGGTACAAGATTTAACAAGACCTTTGAATCTGGCCGTAAAGTATCTCTATGGATTACTGAACTGACCAAGAATATAAATATCAAAAGAGTCTTTCAAAGCAATGAGGAACAAACTGAGTCAGCTCTAGAGTCCAATTCTCAAAACCATTCAACTGTACACCGTAAGAGCCAATATACGATCAGTTGTCAGGGCTAGAGCAGGGAGCAGACTTCCATTTTCAGTTTCAGCTAAAGGAAGAACTGTCGTAACTGGTACGATACTAGGGTGGTAAGCCTTAAGTTGGTTTATGTGATAAGTACGTTTTGCTTTTCTCTTTCCTGGAGTTTGTAGTACGTAATTTACCTCATTGAGCCGCTCAATCACTTCCAAAGGACCTTCGTATCTAGGTTGCAGAGCGTGTCCAGGTAAGAATTTCTGTGCCATCACACTGTCACCTGGTTTGAAGAAACGAGAGCATGTGTGTTTGTCATAACAATGCTTCATCTTGGATTGGGCCTTAGCTAAGTTTTTTGAGGCTAATTCCCTCAGTTGTGACAAACGCTTTTGCATTAGAGTTGGAGTTGTTTTAAGCGAGGGTTCAGATTTTCCGGTCCATGAATCTTTTAGTACGGCGAGGGGGCTGCGTACTTGGTGTCCGTAAATTAATTCAAATGGACTGAACCCAGTGCTTTCTTGTTCGCTTTCCCTTAAGGCGAACAAGAGGAATGGTATTCCTTCGTCCCAATCTCTGGGAAACTGCTCGCAGTACGCTCTCATCATTGATTTTAATGTTTGATGAAATCGTTCAAGGGCTCCTTGCGACTGAGGGTGATAAGCAACAGAAAATACGGACTTAATTCCGAGGCGAGATAAGGCATCGTGAAACATCTTAGAGGTAAAATTTGAACCTTGATCGGATTGAATTATTTGGGGAATCCCCACCTGTGAGAAAATTTTTTGCAAAGCTCGAACAATGATGCGAGAATTAATTTTCCTCAAAGGGATAGCCTCTGGATATCGAGTAACGACATCCATAATTGTAAACAGATATTGATTCCCTTGTTTAGTCCTGGGTAACGGACCAACACAATCTATTATCAGGCGTGAGAAGGGCTCACCACTGACGGGAATCGGAATGAGGGGAACTGGTGGAGGTGTGTGCGAAGGTTTGCCGGTCACTTGGCAGACTTGACAACCTTTTAGATAGCTTTCCACAGTCTCCTTCATTCTGGGCCAATGAAAATGCTTGGCTATTTTGCCCAGCATTTTCTTTACTCCTAAATGTCCTCCCATGGGACTGTGGTGGGCGAAACTAATAGCCAATTCTCTAAAGGTGCTAGGTAGCACTACTAGATGTTTGCTGGTAGACAGATGATCGTCGGAAGACAAAAGAGACTTTTCCTTTCTCATTAATATACCATTAGCAAGATAGTAACAATTGTCCAGGTCTTGGGCGTCGTCTTCTGTAAAAGCTATCTCTCATAATTTCTCTAGGGATGGATCAAGGAACTGATCCCTTATTAAATCTTCTTTCGATAGCATTTTAATATCAAAATCTTGAAAAGGGCCGATCATAGAATATTTCAGATTTGAAGATCCGGGTTGTAAGGATCAGCTGAACAATAAATCGAGACCTAAATCTTCGCCTTCACTTAGGACTTCAGTTGATAAAGGATTTTGAGGCGCTCTAGACATTGCTCTAGTTATAACATTGAGAGGAAATAAGGTAGGAGCCTCTTTTCGAGCTTCTGTCAGTAGAATTATCAATAACTAGAGGCTCTCGGCTTATACCAGGATAGTCTAGATCATTGCCTATGAGTAAGTCAACGCCCTGAATAGGAAAAGTTTCACTGGATATACCTACCGACACAAAGCCAGTATAGGTTGGTGTTTGGATGTATATCCTGTTAAGAGGCACTCTTATAATGGCGCCTCCATAGGCTTCTAATAAGACGTCTAGCTTTGTGCGAGTCATATCACTCACGGGAAGTATGTCCTGCTTCAACAATGTTAAATAACTTCCAGTATCACGGAAGGAATTAATTTCAACTAATTGAGTCTCGTCTATTCCAACTTTCACTTTAGCAAAGTAGGGACTCATAGCTGAGTGAATATCTTTTTCTGAAACAGCTCTAGTATTGAGTCATCTAGAATGACTACTGATTCGTTCTTGTGAACCTTGTTCGGTACTAGAGTTCAGTTTCTTTTGAGTTGTCGATGAAGATATTACCTGAGTTGGGAAACGAAGTCGCTCATTCCTGGTATCCCTCTCTAGCCAATAACAGTGTTTCCTTAAATGCCCTTTCTTATTACAATAAGTGCAGTTCAATTCACTGTTATGCCTTAGTGGTTTTGAACTTTTCCTAGAGTTAGATCTAAATTTATTATTAATGGGCGTGGAGGCATCATAGGAGGTTGGGCAAGGATTCTGTATGCGACGCATCTCTGTAAGATTG